GGACCATCCTGGGAGCGGTGCAGGGATGGCACGGCGGAATCAGCCTGGGTGTCACTGGGATCCCAGCGGGATCAGCCGCGGGACTGGCGGCATCTCCTCCGGGTCAGCCGCAGAACCGGCAGGATCTCCCCGGGATCGCGCCTGGGTCACTGCCAGCAGCAGCCCCTCGGATTCCCCGGGATCACCAGGACCGCAGCAGCCTCACCCTGCGATCGCCACTGCAGGTTCAGCCACACTATTCCCGGGATCTCAGTGGGATTTCCCTGCAGGATCTCCTTGGGATCAGCCCTGGGATCCTCACCGGGAGCAGATGGGAGATCAGCTGCAGGCCTGCCGGGATCACCGGGGCTACACCTGGATCGCTCCGGGGACAGGGCAGGATCTTCCCGGGATCTCTCAGCATCACGCTGGGATCACCCCCAGGACCTCACCAGGATCACACCCTGACATCACACCCGGACACCAACACCCCTTAGCACCAAATCCCTGGGGCAGTTCCAGGCCCCATTTGCCCTAAAAATCATTAAAACCCCTCTTTTTTCCTTTCACAGGTCATTTCCCATCTTCCCGATCCGTGGGACAGCTCCTCCATGGAATGGTGCTGGAGCACTTCAGGAGACCCAGCTGCTTCTGGGATGTTTGTTCACGTGGAATCCTCCAAACCACATTTACAGCTTCCAAGACTGAGATTTCTGGGATTTCCCCAGATTTGGGAGCACGGTCTGGGCAGGAGGGACCCACAGGGATGAAGCGGGAAGCAGAGGAGGGGTGGGTATAAGGAAGGACAAAGAAAGGCTCAGTTCCAGTCCTCTGGAAGTGTTTTCTTGGGAAAAATCCAGCCTGGCCTGAATTCCCAGCAGCTTTTTCAGCCTCTGGAATTGGATCATTACAAGGAAAAGGTGATTTCTGGGATGTTCTCCAGGGCCCTTCCAGGGGCCAGGTGCTGTTATAGGAACAGAGGGAAGCTCCAGCAAATTCCAGCAAACCGAGCACCGCGGGTTCGTTCCCTTTCCCAGTTTTCCATGGAAAATCTGGGATGCCCGAATGGGAGCTGCTCCCGCCATGGCTGGTGCTGGTTTTGGCAGCGGGAGGTTCCCCAGGACGCTGGAGCACAGGGGTTTTCAGCTTCCCAAACCATCTGGAGGGAGCTGGAGGGGCTCATCCTGGAGCAGAGGCGGCTCAGGGGGCACCTCCTGGCTCCCTGCAATTCCCTGGGAGAAGGTTGGAGCCAGGAGGGGTCGGGCTCTGCTGACAGGACAAGAGGGAAGGGCCTCAAGGGGAGGTTTGGGTGGGATATTGGGAATATTCCCCCTGGAAAGGGCTCTCCAGGCCTGGCCCAGCTGCCCAGGGCAGAGGTGGAGTCTCCATTGTTGGAGGGATTTCAAAGCCCTGTGGATGTGGCACTTGGGGACACGGTCAGGGGTGGCCTTGGCAGTGCTGGGGGATGGTGGGACTTGTTCTTGGAGGGCTTTTCCAACCAAAACCATTCCGTGATTCCCCAGAAATGAATCTTTGTTTCATTCCCCTCTCCAGGCAGATCCAACAGGCCAAGCCATGACTTTGTTGCTCCAATGGGAACAAGCCCAGGAGAGCTTCAGCTGCAGCACCAGGAAAGAGGGAATCAGGAGCAGCCTGGCTTATCCACAGCAACCCCTGTGCCATGACCCTGCCTTTTCCAGAGGCTCAGGAAAACCACTGGTGCTGTTGGAACTCCCTGGCTCCCGGCCTGTCCAAACATCAGCATCGATCCCCAAAAACTCCCTGCCTGCTCAAAGGTTGGGTGCTTCGCTTTTCCCGCTGTTTATTTTGACAAATCCATGGTTGACACGGGCATGAGGCACTTCCTGAGGTGGCATTCCTTCGGGAATGCTGGGATCCAGGCTATGGCATGGGCAGGAAGGACAGGGATTTTTTCTTCCCAGCAGCCGGGACCAGTCCGTGTTTCCTGCGCATTTTCCGGAGGGCCACCATGGACCTGTTGAAGGTTTGCTGGGAACAGGGAACACAAAGGGAGCACTCAGCTCAGCTCTCAGGGCACACTTCTCACCTGTAAAAGCTTCTTTCCTGAAAAATAAAAACTAAATTCCTTCCCAAACTTTCCAAGTGCTGTTGGAAAAAGCTGGGAAAATCTCCACCCCACCAGCATTGCTCTGCTGATAGCAGATCCCAGCAGGCTCCAAGGAGGGGACAGGAATTCCTAGGAAATTCCCCAGAGCCCCAGGAAGCTGCTTTTGAGATGTTTTCATGGAATCCCAGAATGATTTCAGTTGGAAAGGACCTTAAGGATCATCCTGATCCACCCCCTTCCATGGCAGGGACACCTCCCACTGTCCCAGGCTGCTCCAGCCTGGCCCTGGGCACTGCCAGGGATCCAGGGACAGCCACAGCTGCTCTGGGAATTCCATCCCAGCCAGGAATTCCTTCCCAATATCCCATCCAACCAGTGGGAGCCATTCCCTGTGTCCTGTCCCTCCATCCCTTGTCCCTCTCCAGCTCTTCAGGGCCTGGGAAGTCTCTGGGGTCTCTCTGGAGCCTTCTCCAGGCTGAACATTCCCAGCTCTCTCTGGGTGAATTTGTTCTGGCTTGGAGCAGCCTGGGACAGGCACTGGATGATCCCAATCCATTCTGGGATTCTCCCAGGGCCCAGCTGGGGTTACCTTTTGGTCCATGTTCATCCTGGCCCTGTAGAAGGACACGGAGCGCGGGCAGTCCGGCAGCACCGTCCCCTGCATCCGCTCAAACTTGTCCTGCTCGTCTTCACCCTGCCAGGGAAGAGAATTCCCCATTCCAGGTGCAAACCACACTCCTGGAGACCTGGGACAAGGATCCCGTTTGCTGCACCCAGCACCAGCTCAGCCAGGAGAACTGGAAGTGAGAGGTTCCCCTGTGCACACCTCGGAGGAGCAGCTCTGAGCAGGGCTTTGGGCAGAAACCTGCAAGGGTTGGGATTTTCTCACAGGAAAAATGAACATTCCCAGCTCTCCCAGCCTGGCTCCAGAGGGGCTCCAGCCCTGGAGCAGCTCTGGGGCCTCCTCTGGATCTCTCCAGGTCCCTCCTGTGCTGTTGGATCCAGGGCTGGGGCAGCTCTGCCGGTGGGGAATCACCTCAGAGGGGCAGAATTCCCCCTTCTGGTCCCACCTGGAATCCTGGGGAACGGGGAGTTGAACAGAAATGTGCTTTTCAGGATGAGCAAAGAGCCCGTGGTGGCTCCTGCCACAGGACTGGTACTGACCACAAGACTTTGGCTGCAAACCTGGGATCCCCCAGGAATCAGGCTCCCAAACTTCCCTGCACCCCCAGGCACTTTTCCCAGCTCCTGATATCCCACAGAGCCCAGGAGCCTCAGGCACCGTCCTGATTGAGCCTCTAAACACTGCAGGGAATGTGACAGCAGGATGTGGCTCCAGATATTCCCTTTGTGCCTCCTTCTCCTTCTTTTTCTCCTCCTCCTCCTCCTTCCACAGGCTTCCTCATTCCCTCACCACCCCAGACATCAGCAGAACTCCGGGATAACTCACCAGGCACGTGACTCTGTTGATGGGAATCATCCCAGGTGTGATGTTCCCACCGGGCTTCAGAGCTTCCCTCACATGTTCAGGGATAAGGAAGGACTCGTTGTACCAGATCTCAAACTCTGGGAAGCAAAGAGGGGCAATTAATGGCTGTAATTAACGACCCAAAAGGCAGCACGGATCGGTTCTCCCTGTGGATCAGCTGGGATCTCAGACAGGAACTCAGAACTCCAGGTTTGGAGTTTAAACAATTGGAAAAGTGATTTTTTTGTTGTTGTTGTTTAATGGAGGAGGCTGTTGGAGGAGGTGGCCAGCTCTGGGGACAATCCCTGGCCATGAGCAGGCGCCAGAATCCCTTTGGAAGCAGGGCTCGGATTTCAATCCCACGCACTCCAGCACAGCCGTCTGCCATCCCATAATAGGCAGTGAGAACACAACAGCAGGTGGGAATTATGTCCTTATTAATCCTGGGCATTTCCCTGCTCCTGCTCTGGGTGAGTCCTGGATGTTTGAACCAAACATCTGGAGCGCCCAAAAATGCCAAACCCGGATCCAGCGGGCACAGCTGTGACTGTCCTGCTCATCCCTGGAATGATGGGAATGATTATCCCACTCCTTCCAGCCTGGGATGGATCCAAGCTGTCCCCTGGTAAATGCTGCCATGTGCACAACATCCAGATCTTTGGGATTCTGCAGTTCCTATCAGGGATAAAGCAGGGGCAGTTGGAATCCACAGATTTCAGGGTGGAGCCCACCAGGAATTTGCAGGAATTCCCAGGAATTTCCCAGGACAAGCTCTTTTTCCTGCTAAGGATGCAACTCTGGAACCTGGAAATCACATAGGGACAGAGGAAATATTGGGAATCCAGAGGCAAAGCCCTATCCTGGGGCAATTCCTTAACCACCACCTCTCTTTAATAAAATCTGGGATGAGATCTGGGGTCAGCAGTGTGAAATTCCTTGTGGGAGGCTTTTCCCCGTGTAAGGGTGGCACCAAGGAGTGGAGGGACATTATCTGGGAGAGAGGAGCTGCAGGAATTTGAGGATAGGTCAGAAAACCCCACCTGAAATGGATAAAATCCAGTCTGGAAGGCAACAGGAAAAGGGACAACGGAGAATGGTAATTTGGCAAGGAGAGGACAATTTGTAATTGGTAAAAGGTCATTTGGTAATTTAAAGGTAATTTAAAATTTTAAGAGGTAATTTGGAGGGACAGGACACGGGGAGCAGCTTCCACTGCCAGAGGGAGGGGAGAGATGGGATATTGGGAAGGAATTCCTGGCTGGGATGGAATTCCCAGAGCAGCTGTGGCTGCCCCTGGATCCCTGGAAGTGCCCAAGGTTGGACATTGGGGTTTGGA